TTCAATTAAAGTGGATTTCATTTTTATCTTTACAAATAGATACTTTATTAGTACTATGTGAAAAATTGCATAAGGATATAACTCCTATGCTTCCTTACTGTCATCCTCAAGGTATACCTGGCAATAAGAATTAAGGCTTGTCTTCTATTTATATGACTTTAAAATTTGCCCAAATACAAACAAGTATCTTAAATTTTCTTTACTGTAGATCCCTTTGATATACAACTGCTAAGTGCATTTGATTTTTTTTTTTTTTAAACCGTCTTTCTAGTAGTTCTGATTTTGAGTGAACTGTTACATTTGGTATGCCTCAAGAGGTTGAATTTAGTACCTTTCAAAACCCTTTTGCATTTTTAAATAAACTTTTACATCTATAATTTATTTAAAAGAAAATGGTCATAATTAACATGAAGTGATCATAGATTTCATTTCTGTTGACCTTAGCTTGTGGAGGTATTTGTATTTATCAGAGAAGATTGGATCATGTGTTTCTAATGGGCAATAATGGTGACGACCTCTCTTTCAGACTCGTTAATGGACACACCCAGGGCAGAGACAGTTGGAGAGGTTAATACAAGTGAAGATCAAAAAGAGGAGGAGACAAACGGATGAAATGAAGACATTCTAGAAAACCCACATCATGATGCTGACAATACTGTAAATGTAGAGGAGGAATTAAACCTGAACCAATCCTTTTAAAATGTACAATAGTAACTTTATGTTGCACCCAAAAATGATGTTACTGAAGTTGGATTGGCCTCAGCTAGGAGAGAAAATGTGTCTGTTAACTTGCTGTTCCCCAGGTTTGGGGTTACTGTCTACAGTATTTTGTCTACTTTGAGTGAAAATCCTTACCTAGTAAAACTTTTGCAGCTTCCTGTTTAAAATCTGGTATTTATTCTGGTATTTATTTATAATTATGCTTGTCATTTACTTATTAACTTTAGTTACTGTTTATTCTCTTCCATGTTTATTTTTACACAGATGAATATGACTTCATAAAATTAGTAGCTAATAAGCAATTTCTGCAGCTAATGTGCCATTGGGTGCATTGTTTTCACTAAATTGGGTGATGTTTTAAGATGTAAATATTTATTGAATATTAATGTCCATTTTTTAAAAGAAGTAAAAATTATTTTACAAACTCTAGAGGCTTTATGAACATTTCTCATCACTATTTAGTACTGCAGTTTACACTTCTGGTAGAATGTTTAAGGTCTCCATGTATTTACATGTATTCAGAGTCGTCACTTTAATATTTGAAAGGTAACATGAGAGACATACATTGCGTGGCCTGTATAGGTGCTAAATATACAACTTCAAATAACAGGGCACTGCTCTCTCTGACCGACTAGTTGGAGAGCAGTTTGCAAAGTGCCTTGGGGGATACAGAGGACTTAGGAGAGTTCACAGGAGTGACCTTTGAGTTGGCAGAGCAAATTGCAAGTATTGGGAAGAACACGTACAGTAGTGACAGAGAAATGAAGATTTAGGAAATAAGGAAGACTTGGGAATGGTGAATATAGGCTAGAGGAGTTAAGGCTGGATGGTGAGAGGACCCCACTAGAGTCCTTCCCCTGCCTGAGCTTATTAACTTACTTGGTGGAGGGAGTAATTACAGAGAAAGCACCTTGTTGACAACCAAGTTCAAAACAAAGTCTGGTTCCTGGCAAGA